CCCCTGTGAAAGGGTCGTTTGACCCCCAAAGGGGTCATGAACCACAGGTTGAGAACCGCTATTCTAGAGGGAACCAAGTGTCTTTGAGCAACTGAGGGAGGCCATTGAGATGAGGCCTGGGGCCTGGGTGGGAGGTAGGACTGGAACTGGAGGCCGGACCTGGGTCATTGAGTTTCTTCTGAACTTGCTGAGGAGCTTGGCTTCTCTTAAGAACAGTGTGGCATTGTTGGAGGGTTTATGCAGAGTCAGATATGGATCTAAGGGTATGTCTTTGTAGCAGGGCTCAACCTGGGCCACTGTGGCAGAAAGAGCAGAAAGGAGGCCACGACGTTGGCCCTCGAGACTGGACAAGGCGGGGTGTGTGAGCAGTGACACCCCAGGGACACGCCCAGCTGTCTTGTCCTGCAGGTGGTAGGAGATGCCTGGGATAAGACACAGTGCAGCTTGGACATGATGTTTTATATTTCATTTCTGTATATTGGAAGATTACACCTCAGCTGCCTGTTAAGGAATCCTCAGTTGACTGTGGGTGAAGTTTGCCTTTCCAAGTTGAGGTTCTGTGGGGATTCAGTCACACGGGGAGTTCACCTGTTCTATGTTTGTCGAACAAAACAGTGGAGGATGCAATCTCCTGCAGATCAGGAGCCCTGACCACTTGCATAAGGAGCAAGGGCTTCGAGGTGGCCCGCCCTGCACATCAGGTGGCCAGTGTGATCAGGGGCATCCGACCAACTGTCCAGACCTCAGCTTGGGCCCTGGAAGCAGCGCCTGCTTGAAGAAAGCAGCCATGCAGCCGTGTCTCATTGAGGAAATGGACTAGCACCCTGCATTTCCACCTCAAATGGTGTGGTGACAATCACGAGATTCAGCAGATCGTAAAAACTGTTTAAATCCTGAAACATTGTACAAATACAACAATTATTGGTAGTTTTATTGTAATACTTTCCCAACCTTGCTCCCTGGCTCTTGTATCCAACTTGTGTGAGAACCACATTGTGTAGCATAGCCCTTGGGCTGAAGGCCCCAAGAAGCAGTGAGAACTCAGCAAGGAGACACCTGTGAGCCTCAGGGGCTTTTGCAGCATCTTTGTGAAGGCCTCTCTGTAAGTTCCTGCTGTCGCTTGCTTGCACGACTACCACTTGCTCCGGGGCTCCAACGTCATGTCTACTCTCTGTCACTTCTGGAGGTCAGGCGTCTGGAATGGGTCTGTGGCGCTGTGTTTCCTCTCAGGCTCCGGGAGTCTTCTCTGGCCTCGTCCCCCTTCTGGAGCCACCTGCACTCCTAGGCTCCTGGCAGCACCTTCAGTGGCCATTTCCATTGCCACACCTCTCTGTGGGATTCTCCTATCCCCCTCCTTCCCTTACAGGGACCCAGTGACAACTTTGGGCATGCTCAATAATCCAGGACAATCTTTTCACCTCAAGATCATGAATGTAACCACTTTTGCAAAGTCCTTTGTCATTTCTTCCCACGTGCCTGATTCACAGCTTCCAGGGATCAGGGCTGAGATATCTTTGGGAGAAGGTGGGAGTGGTATCATGCTTACCCACCAAAAAGGCACAGAACAGCTCCAACAAGTAACAGCCATTGAACCCCAAATAGACAGAAACAGTGTAACCCAGGATAGGCCAGCCTTCGTGACCCCGTCTAAGAGTGGTTCCACAGCCAAAGACACAGGGTCCAGCAATTCTATACTTGCTGGGTGCCTCAGAGGGGATCCCAGGGTGGGCATTCCACAGAATTGTTGATTTCCATTCTTTCTCCCAGACCTGCCCCATGTCCTCTCTCTCCCTTTCCCACGCCGCTCCTTCCGACAGCCTCACAAGGCCCTGTCCACATGTCTGGTCAGTCTTCCAGGGCTCACTTGCATATTCTCCCCCCCCCCCCCATTACCCTCCTCCCCCATAGTCCCATAGTTTTCTATAAAAGTCTAGGAAACCCTCTGGCACAGCCGGGATTCTCAGGAGGGAAGGACAGAAAGCTGTGTGACACCCAGAGTAGTCTCTGACAGGGAAGAGAAGGGACAGCTTGCAGCTCGCACACATCGATAGTTGTGTCCCAGGGTTATACCACAGCCAGAGCGCAAGTAATTTGCATCTTGCTCTAAATATTTTATTTTGTTTAGAGCATTAAGGTTCTTGAGAACTTGACCTTGTACGTGAATTGCTTTGTAAAGCATAGTACCATACAGATGTTGCGCATGTCCTCCAGTCCTCACAGAGAGGGTGCGAATTTGCTTCAGCAGGTGGCCGGCACATGCAGACAGGCTATGAGCACAGCAGAGCCCAGGGCATCAGCCATTGACTGTGCTCTGGGTGCTGCTCTGGGTGCTGCTCTGGTGTTAATGCTCTCGGCCTCCCCAGCTCCTTTGAAGACATAGTGCAATTCTCACACTGCAGATGAGCAGACAGGCATATAAATATCAAATAAATTCTCCAAGACCACATATGTAGGTGCAGGTAGCACTGGGACTCAGGTGTGGATAGCCTGAGGCTGGTGACAGCACATGAGCCTGCAATTGACCTGCCATGACTTTGTCACCATGTGTGTGCATGACGTGAGCACTGTGAGCAAATCCACAAACTGCTGAAAGGAGAAACACTGCAGAGTGAAGTAGGGGCTGACATGCCGTATGGCTTCTAGGACCCATGCTGACTGGCTCTTTCCTCTTCCTCCTGCTCTGGGGAGGTGAGGGGTAGTCGGGGGGTTCTGGAAAAGGACATTGGTGGGCTGGCAGAGGACCGTGTTTTTGACAGAGCTACCAATGCTTTCAAAGTGAGAACTGGAACCAGCTGGGATTTGGTTCTGTTCTATCTCTAAGTGATTAAAGGGAAAGTCGATAAAAACCACTAGGCACAATTATTTTTCATGTTAAATAATTTTAAAGAGTTAAATATAGAATGATAAAAATGTAAAAACCTGGCAGTTAAATCAGTCGGAATTGCGGACTTGATCAGAGGCAGCATCTTGAGTTCCTCCCCAGAAACAGTTCTGTGAGGCACCAGGTTCCTTGGGTGGCCTGGTTGGTTGTGGCAGCTACCACCCCCTGGTGGTTGAGGGTCTGAAACTCACATTGGCTCCGAGAACTGACTTTCAGATGGAATTGGGGAGCAGGTAAATGAGATTAAAAGCACCGCTCCCATGGTGCCCTCTCAGGGAAGGTTGGGTATTGTGGATACCCAGTATTTCCCGTGAGCTAGGAGCCCTGCTATTCCGGTGAGAGGAGGACCCTGCACCTTCCCATGTGTGTGTGCATATGTGTGATGTGCACACGCTTCTCCACGGCCAGGAGTGAAGAGCCCGGTGTGACCCTTAATAAGCACAGATTGCTCTATCTGAACAAGTCATTGTCCAGATTTCCCGATTTCCTGATTTTCAGCTCCACAGCAGAGGGTGTTTGTAGGGACACAGCTTGTCCCTGTTCTTCACCAGGGTGAGCAGCACGCCTTCAGGGCGTGACGACTCAGGGTTAAGATGGTGACATAAAGGACGAGCTCTGACTTGACTTTACAATTATTTTTTAAATAAAAAAAAACCAAGCCTGTAATGAAAAGTTTAATGTAGTGGGAAGAGGAGAAAAACAGAGAGGTTAGTACTCTTTTTGAAACAAGTTACCTTATAGTGAAGCCATGAGGCCCCTTACAAAGCAGTGTGCTTTATTCCTCCACACAGCCTGCATACATGTGGGGACACGCGTTCCGCTGGTGGAGGCTGTGCTTCCTTGAGCTGAGTGGGCAGATGCATAGACCTCTTCCTGTCAGGGCCAAGGTGAAGGGAGCAGGCAGCATGCATCCCTCCTACAGAAAGCCCATTGAAGTGAGCTTGATTGTTAACAAAACCACATTCCAGTGAGGTGCACAGGCCTCCAAGTTTCCTTTATTCCCTGTTACACATACAACACACATGTGCACACACGTTCACACACACAAATGTTTCTTTTCGGGCCTGTCAGTAGCCAGGGACAAGCACGTGAACTGGTTTTCAACCCAGCCTGGCCCTACATGGCACTCACACTGCCCCTCCTGAAGTATTTAAGATGACTTTCTCACAGTGTGGAAAAAGACCATTTAACCCTTGAAACGTGCTTTGGAATTCGAAGAGGTAATTCAGGGTCCTGCACTGAGATACCTTTTTAATATATTTGTTACACTACAACTGAATTTTTAGTTTTCTTTAATTGCTTAGTGGTCAGTGACTCCCAAATAAGATGAGATATGAGTCTTCACCTTACACCACATCTTTCAGAAGTCACTTTACCGTGAACGTGAATTCCTAGGGGGCTCTTTATGTGGCAAATAGCACTTTGTGGTATTCGGGGCCGTGTAGCTAGGCTGCCACTTGTTCCAGCTGGTTGTTCTCACGCTGCTCTTGGTACATGCGTGTGGCCCCGACACACACCCTTTCTGTTTCATTGCAAAACGTGTCCCGCTTTCTGTCAGTATGAGGCTGTGTCTATGGGTATGCAGAGCTTCCGTGAGACTGCTAACCCAGCCAGCTGGTAGATGGGCGTGATCATCTCCAGGTCTTTGCCTAACTACATGGCTGAGTATTTAACCGAGTGACTGCACTGGCACACATTGTCTTAGACCTGGAGGCAGCTCAGTGCCTGGGCACTTGCTCTTGGTCACCCGCAGAGCTCCTAACTTAGTCTTCTCCTTTCACGAGAGGGCTAGCTATTTTGTTAACCTTCTTCATTTTATTATGGGGATGCGGAGTGCTAGCCTGATACAGCGTGTCGAGTATGCATTTGATGTTACCTTGTGGTGGTTCATCTTTGTGGGAAGGAGTGGTAACTGAGCAATGATGGCTAAACTTAGGTACTTTTTTCTTTTTGTTACAGTAATTGCAGTTCCATTTCGGGGGGGGGGGGGGTGGAGCCTGTAAGGAATCGGAGCGCCACCGAAAAGATGAGAAGAGACTGGAGAGCCAAACAGCCGAATAACCAGATCAGGCTTTATTGGGTACACTCCGTGCGGGTTCACAGACTCCGGGGGGTCGAGTCCTAGAAGCCGTGCCCAATGCTGGGGTTTGTGATTTTTATATCTGCCTGTTGCAGCTGGAATTTGTCCGTTAGGGTTTGGCCCTGCAGGTTTACACATGGGTGCCTCTGTCGTAACAGCATGTGAGTCTATAAGCCCGGGGCAAACAGTTCCTGGAACAGGGTGGGGTTTAAGGTTGGGTAAGCAAGGTAATGGTCGAGCAGTTTGCCTGGCGCGAGTCCCCAGGCTATCGGACATTCCCCGACTCTGTGGTATAGGAATAGGGGCGAGGTTGTCTTTCTGGCTACTTCCAGCTGAATGGGAGTGATGTCAGGGGAGGGGGCCCTGTCGGCGTGATCTGAGTCCGGGGACTGGTCAAAGGCTGGTACTGTTGTTGCAGCATCATTTGGTGGACCTCTAGTGTCCGGGTGAGCCGTGCGAATCGGTTCTGGATGAAGCGGAGAAAACGGGGCAATTAGCAGTATAATTCCTATGAGGATGACTGGGCCGAGGATGGGGGAGAGTAAGGAGTACATGGAGGAATTCCACCAGGAGGAGGCATCTGCTGAGAACTTTTGTTTTTTAAGTTCTGAGCTTAGCTGGTGGAGGGTTTCAATGTGGGTTTCTACCAAACCTGATTCGTTGATATAATAGCAACATTCTTCCCCAAGAAATAGACAGGCTCCTCCGTGTTCCACTGTGAGGAGGTCCAGAGCCCTTCGGTTCTGCATAGAAAGTTGGGTTAGAGAGGTTATTTGTCTTTGAAGGGAGGCCAGGGACTCCGCTGAGCTGTCAATGGCTAGCTGGAACTGGGATGCAAGCCGGGCGGAAGAGATTAGGGAGTGTGCGAGTGTTCCTCCTCCCAATTCCTGGAATTCAGCAGGGGTATAAACCATAAGTTGTGGAGTCAGCGTGACCGGGAGGCAGAGAAGAGAGGGATTGAGAGTCATGGAGAGGTTTTTTGAAAGTGTATTGTTGCACCAAAAAAAGAAACCATCCGGGACTGTCAGGTTAGAGGTTGATGGGATTGTCTGGTCGCAGAGGGATGAGGATCCATTGTTATAGCAGAAAAGAAATTGTTGGAGATCTGGGGGTGAATAGAGATTGACCCCAGAAAGAGGTGAGAGGTGGGTGGGAGCCTTGTTAGAGGAATTCAGGGGAACGGGAATGGGACCGCAGTAAGGAGCCGCCTGCCAATAGCTGCACACGTGAGACAGGAGCAGAGAGTGCTGATGCCTGTGAGGTGAGCTAGCATTAACCCTCCCTGGAGTAGGGTTAGCGAGGAGAAGGGTGAGGTGTTGGTGAGGTGAGCTAGCATTAACCCTTCCTGGAGTAGGGTTACGAGGAGAAGGGTGAGGTGTTGGTGTTGAGTTGTTTAGTTAGTACTGATTCCTGGGCCTGTATTTCATGGTGTACTATACTCTGGACCTGGACGTAGGACTGCCATACATAAATGTGTGTGGAGGGCCAGGTTTCATGGCGGTTCATGTAGACAGCCCCCTTTTGGGGAGTCGTCCATCGGGGATCCCAAGGGTCAGGGATTGTTAAAGTGAATCCTCTGCCGTTGGGATTGGAAAAGTGAAGACGTTCATGGGAAAAGGGAGTCTTGTATCGTTGGGCAGCATGGATGTTGCAGGAGCTCCATCTGCAGCCCATGCAAGAGTGCCAAGAATTTTCCTTGCATTCAGAGGGTTGGTCATAGAGGAAACAGACTGCAGGGGCTGCGCAGTTCTTTGTGGCAGGGTCCTTAAAATCATTAAAGTTGATATAGACCATTGATTGGCATCCTGCCGGGGGACAATCTGCGGTGCCTAATAGCCAGCTAAGTAAGTAGGGTTTGTTTGGGTTGCTGCAGTACTGGGTTCCGAAGTGGCCCTTGCTTGTTCCGTTTTCTGTGAGATAGAACCTGTGAGGTTTAGTGAGGAGGACAGCGGGAAAACTTAAGAGTCAGAGGGCCAGTAGGGCTGACTGTCCAGGAGTGTGAGCCATCTGGATGGGGGGCCCTCTTGACTCTGGAGAGGTGAACCCAGGCTGAGATGCCCAGTACCTTGATTGCTGAGTGGGTACTCAGGATAACTGTATAGGGACCCTCCCACCTCGGGTTCAGGGGTTTGGAGGATAGGGCCTTTATGAGAACTTGGTCTCCTGGTGAGATTCGTTGAGGGGGACCGTTTTCTGGGTCTGGGTCCGGTTCAGGGAGAGTCCGGTTTGCGTGTTCCCTGAGTAGGGAGCGAAGGAGGGACAGATAAGGCAGGTAAGAGGCTAGAGGAGGTGGGGTATCTGGTGAAGGAGTTGACAGTAGAAAAGGTCTACCGTAGAGGAGTTCGAAGGGGCTGAGGTGGGATGGTCCTCTGGGCGCAGCCCTCAGGCGAGTCAGAGCCAGGGGTAGGAGATCAGGCCAGGACTGCCGGAGATCTAGACTGAGTTTAGTTAGATGTTCCTTGATGAGGCCATTGGCCCTCTCAACCTTACCTGAAGACTGGGGGTGGTAGGCCGCATGTAACTTTCATTTAATGCTGAGAGAGGCCGAGACCGCCTCGGTGATTTTGGAGATGAAGGCCGGTCCATGGTCTGATTGTATGGAGTTTGGCAGCCCGAAGCGTGGAATGATGTCCTTTAATAAGTGGGTAGTCACGGTTTCTGCAGTTTCTGAGGAGGTCGGGAAGGCCTCAATCCAACCTGAAAAGGTATCAACCATGGTTAACAGGTATTTAAACTTTGTGTTTTGGCATATGGGTGAAGTCTATCTGCCAGTCTTGTCCTGGCAGGTGACCCCGCATCTGGTGGAGGGGCCTGTGCACATGGCAAGCCTCTTGGCTGTTGGACCTAGAACAGACAGAGCATGAGGTGTGTGCGGCCTGGATAGTTTGCTGGAGCTTGTCAGGATGTAGGATCGGGGATAAGAATTGGTGAAGGGCTTTGGGACCTATGTGGAGAGACTTGTGGATGTATCTGCAGCCTCTGGGCATCTGGAAGGATCAGGAGGTCTTCTTGAAAGGCCCATCCATCCTTGAAGAGGACCCTAGGGGAGGACTGGAGAAACTTCAGTTCGGCGGATGAGTATTGGGAAGAGTGTCGGTTCCTGAAAGAAAACATATAGTAGGAGCACGCCCCAGACGAGCAGTGGATTGGGCCATTTCATCAGCGAAAGCATTTCCTTTGGCTATAGGGGAGTTCGAAGTCTGGTGGCCCCGGCAGTGGATAATGGCTAACCGCAAGGGGAGCTGGATGGCCCGTATGAGTTTTCTGTTCAGGACCGGGGTGTCTTTGGTGGTGAGGAAGCCTCGTTCCTTCCAGATCATACAATGGGAGTGTGCGATCAAGAAGGAATATTTTGAATCAGTGTAGATGTTGACTATTTTATCTTTCGCCCATATGAGAGCACGGGTCAAAGCTATCAGTTCAGCCTGTTGTGAGGTGGTGCCCGTGGGGAGCTGTCGGGCTTCAATGATGTTAGAGTCAGTGACCACAGCATAGGCAGCCTGCCTGGACCCGGAGGGGTCCAGGATGGAGCTGCCATTAATATAGAGGGTGTGATGGACGTTAGGCAAGGGATGGTCAACCACGTCAGGCCGGGGAGACTGATGATGTTCCAAGATTTCCAAGCAGGAGTGGGCGGAGACTTGCCGGTCAGGGATGGGCAGAAGAGTTGCTGGGTTGAGGGTGCCACAGCTAGAAAGGGAGATTGAAGGATTTTCTATGAAAAGGAGATGGTATAGCTGAAGTCTAGAGGGCCCGAGGTGGGCCAGAGCCTGATGTGAGAGGAGGTCAGTAAGGCGGTGGGGGGAGAAAACCTGGAGGGGTTGTTGTAGGTTGATCTGCAGAGCCTCAGTGGTGAGCTCCGCCGCTGCTGCAAGGGCCTGGAGGCAAGGCTGCCATCTATGAACAGTGGGGTCCAGCTGCTTGGAGAGAGAGGCAACAGGAACCAGGGTGGGGCCAACCGGCTGGACTAGGACCCCTATAGCTAGGTGATGTTTTTCTTTGGTATAGAGGAGAAAAGGTCGTTGAGGATTGGGGAGGGCAAGGGCCGAAGCAGAGCAAAGAACCGTAAGGAGGGTCTGGAAAGCCCGATGGACCTCCTTGGGGGAGGTCAGGGGCCCTTCGGGGGTGTCCTTGGCCACTTGGTAGAGTGGTCTGGCCAGGAGGGCGAAATTGGGGATCCAGTGTCTGAAGAATCCTACAAGTCCAAGGAAGGACTGGATCTCCATTGCCAAGGTCGGGGGTTGCAAGTTCCAAAGAGCCTGCAACCTGTCAGAGGTGATCGCTGGGTGTGTTGGGGTGACAAGGAGCCCTAGGTAGGTCACCGAGGGAGTCACGATCTGGGCTTTCTGTGCAGACACTCGGTAACCGTTGGTGAAAAGGAAGTTGAGGAGAGCGGTGGTGGCTGAGATATTATCCCCCACAGAGGGGGAGCAGATGAGAAGATCATCCACATACTGAAGGAGAGTGGATGGAGATAGATCACACTCTGTTAAGTCTTGGGCAAGAGCCTGGCCAAAGAGGTGCAGACTATCCCGGAATCCTTTAGGGAGGACAGTCCATGTTAGTTGTTGGGAAACGTTGGAGACCGGATCCTCCCAGGTGAAAGCAAATAGAAAGTAGGACTCAGGGTGCAGCGGGATAGTGAAGAAAGCATCCTTCAGGTCGAAGACTGAGAAACGGGTAGTATAGGGGGGGATATGAGAGAGAAGGGTGTAGGGGTTTGGGACTACTGGAGAAATGGGTATAACTGCTGAATTGATTGTGCGAAGGTCCTGGACAAGGCGGTACTGCCCCGAGGGTTTTTTAACAGGCAGGATGGGGGTGTTACAGGGGGAGTTGGTGGGGATGGGGAGGCCCTGACTTCTGAGTTTAGATATAATGGGATGGAGTCCTAGTCGGTGGGCCTGAGAAATGGGAAACTGAGGGCGGTGGGGGTAAGATGAGGGTTTTTTTAATTTGATAAGAATGGGGGTGTGGTGTGAGGCAACCAAGGGGTGTCCGTGTCCCAGACCCCAGGGTAGACTGCCGGTAAGAGCTGGACGGCAGGGTTGAGGTAGTAGTTTGGGTAGGGCTAGAGAGCAATGCGATTAGATGCAGTTGCTGGGGGAGGAAAGAGATGGTTGTATGGAGTTTAGATAAGATGTCTCTCCATAAGAGTGGAACTGGACAGGCAGGCATCACTAAGAAAGAATGGGAGAACGGATGGCCCTCCAAGATGCAGTTAAGTAGGGCCATCCCTCTGGGGGTGATAGGGAACCCATCAATTTCCATAACTGAAACCTGGGAAGGAAGAGTGAGGCCCGAATGGGAGGGGAGGACAGAGTAGGTAGCCCCTGTGTCTATCAAGAAAGAGATAGACTTACCCGCTACCTAGAGCGTGACCCTGGGCTTGGCGAGGGTAATTAGAGTCGCAGAACCAGGGCTGCCTCAGTCATCCATGAGCCCCAGTAGCTCCAACGCTGGGAAATCCTGGGTCTCATTTCCCCTGCATTGAGGTGCCGAGGACTGAGCCAGGGTCAGGCAGTCCGACTTCCAGTGTCCCATCATTTTGCATTGGGGACAAGGCTTAGTAGGGGCCCTGGGCTGTGGGCAAGCCCTGGCCCAGTGGCCTTCTTTGCCACACTTGAAACAGGCACCCAGAGGCAAGTGGAGTCCCCCCTTGGGGGCCTGGTGTTTCTTCGGGTCCCCTGCCAGCCAGAGCCTGGGTTTGGTAGGGCAGCAACCAGAGCCTGGGTTTGGAGGCTTACCTTCTGTTGGAGCCTGGCCTGGCGGGCCACCTCAGCCGTCTCCTCCTGGGCATTAAAAACCTTAAAGGCCATTTTTACCAGGTCTTGGATGGGAGTCTCAGGGCCCTCCTCAGCCTTTTTTAGTTTCTTTCTGATATCAGGGGCGGACTGGGAGATGAAGTGGGCCCCATTAGGTGACCCTGGGTCCAGGCGGGTGTACTTGACTAGGGCGTCCTGAAGTTGATTAAGGAAGAGGGCTGGATTTTCGTCAGGGTACTGGGTGATTTCTCTCATTTTATCATAATTGACTACCTTTTTGGAGACTGCATCCATACCCCGAAGAAGGTATCGGAGCATGAGGTTCCGGCGCGGGATATTAGATCCAGGGCCGGGCTGATAGTTCCATGCAGAATCGTCCTGGGGAACTGCTTCATTGCCGAGGGGGACAGTATTGTCTACTAGGTGGTCCCTATCTGCCTGCTGCTGAGCCACTGCAAAGATGCGTTCGTGTTCTTCAGGGGTTAGGGTGGAGGTACAGATAACCCGAATATTAGGTCAGATCATATATCTGACTCAGATACCGGAATTTCCTGATGTATAGGGAGGGGTCGGCTGAGAAAGAGCCCAGACGTCTTTCGATTTGAGAGAGAACAGCGGGCCTTGTGGGTGAGCGGGACCGGGTGTGGGCAGCGACAGGGGAACTAAGGGGATCATCTTGGGGGGGAGCGGTTGGGAGGCTGTTAGGGGTGTGTCGTTCTTCTGCAAGGGGTTGAATTGGGGGGGGGGGCTAACTGGTCTGGGAGGTCATCGGGAAGGGCGTAAGGAGGGGGTCCGACGGAGGAAACCTTAGGAGGAGTTGGAGCAGTGCGGGCAAGGAGGATCTGAAGGGTGGAGCAATGGGAGCAGAGGTCGGGGCGGGAACGGAGGTCCCAGAAAGCCTGAATATAAGGGACCTCAGAATCGTTCCTGGTGCGCTGGCAAAAATTATCAAGGTCATGAAGGACATTGAAGTCAAAAGTGCCGGTGGGGGGCCAGTGAGACTGATTATCTAGGGTATATTGAGGCCAGGCAACCTGGGACAAAAAGATAAGTTTTTCTTGTGTAGGCTCTGAGAATATCCTAATTTGAAAACATTTTCGAGGAGACACCCGAGGGGGATCTTAGGGTCGATTCTGGATTCGGAATTGCCCATGGCGACGGATTAGAGGGGCCTTGAGTGTCTGGAGAACGGACATACAAAAGGCGTCCCCTTTGGAGGCCCGTCCCTGGACTGACGGGAGGGTCGTGAAGGAGCCTCAGGCATCCCTGGAAGCAGCTTTAGACCGGGGAGTTCCTGGAACTCTGGTGGAGAGGCGGGGGCGTCCCGACTTGGCCAAGTTTTGGACTGGAGACCCGAGCCCCGGCGACAGATCAAAACCCCGGAGAAAGTGAAACGACTTACGGTTTTGGAGTTAGGCTCCAGAGCCGGCGCTGGGTGGAGGGAGATTCTGAATCCAGAAGACGGGTGGTGGCGCAGGGAGAGGAGGGGGACTCTCATCTCGACCAAAAAGGCCTGGCCGGGTCACAAAACCCTCCTCCCAGGTTTCAGCACCAGATGTAAGGAATCGACGTGCCGCCAAAAAGATGAGAAGAGACTGGAGAGCCAAACAGCCGAATAACCAGATTGGGTACACTCCGGGCGGGTTCACAGACTCTGGGGGTCGAGTCCTAGAAGCCGCGCCCGATGCTGGGGTTTGTGATTTTTATATCTGCCTGTTGCAGCTGGAATTTGTCCGTTAGGGTTTGGCCCTGCGGGTTTACGCATGGGAGCCTCTGTAGTAAGGGGATGAGTCTATAAGCCCCGGGCAAACAGTTCCTGGAACAGGGCGGGGTTTAAGGTTGGGTAAGGAGGTAATGGTCCAGCAGTTTGCCTGGCACCAGTCCCCAGGCTATCGGACAGGGACCTCCAAGAAAAAATAGCTGTGATTATTTTACACTGATTGATAGTACGTAGGGGGCTGTACTTGACAGAATTTGCTGTTATTTCATGCAGTATTTTAAATATGTGAAAATTTCAAATATTTCAAATGGCAGCTCACCATAAAACTGGGTTTTAACTCTTTACCTTTTTTAATTTAAATTAGGGTCTCCTTTTAATTGGTTTTATGGTTATTAGGTACCTGAGTACAATTTCTTTAGACATTTCGGAGATCAATGATTTTGATAGCTTATTCAGCCTTATTTATACCTTCAAATAATATTGAAGAAATAGTTCGTTTCAGTTTTTATGTGTCAGTGTTTTTCTTAAGCTCCCTTCAGTTATGCCTTCAACTAAGATGTATCTGTTATTTTATTGATTAATATATTTGAACTTATGCTTGAATTTTTTTAAACAATTCTTCACAGTAAGTATCTTGAAGGAAATTGGCACGTACTGCTTATAGGATCCCATCAGCTTTTCTATTCTGAGTTACTCTCCCATCTTCATTGGGCGCCATTCTATTGTGGGGGATGCTTTTGCATCCCATAATTTCTATTATAACTCTTCGTGTAGCCTTGGAACGAGATAGGACTCAGGAATCATTATAGTTGACTGAATACAGATATGGAACAAAAACTGTTAAGTAATGATATTCATCATAGAGTGTGTGTGTCTACATGAGCATGTATGTGTGTGTTTGTGGACATATATACAGTATTTTGTCACTGTGTTGAGTTCATTTTCCAAACCCAAGCAAAATAATAAGCATTAAAAAAATGAGAAGCATTGTCTGATTTTCAAACTTCCCATGTCCAGCGGTTAGTGACCCTACTTCCATCACTTTGAGATAGTGCCATTTCTTTCTGTGGGCATCAGCCTACTCACTGTCATCTAGCTCTTAATTCCAGTATGCTTAATATTTTCTTGTAGCTCATTATGATGATTCTCCTCCAATCAGTGCAGTTCATATAATTTACTGAGAATAATTAAGGGCCAGGGAAAACCTGCATCCAAAGGGAATGCCATCAGATTGTGTTTACATGTGTTAGGGCAGGACCTGTGCCCTGCCATCCAGGATGTCACCCTGCTGACCCCTGCTGGTCAGGCGCCTGCGGGTCCTGAGGAGGGCAGCATGGAAGCGGACCCGGGCCCTCTGCTGCTGCCAGCTTCATGTGGTGGTTCTCCGGGGTCTTCATCCCGGAAGTTTGTCAGATGATTGTTGTCTTTAAGGTAATGAGATGATCACATCTTATTTGGTGAAGATCTCTCTCTCTCTGTCCTTTTTACTAAAGGTGGAGGACATCATGAGACAGCCAGGAAACTGCTGCCTGGCCCAGGTGAGAGACCTGAGGCTCTAGCAAAAGTTGGGCAGAGGGCATGGAAGGAGGACAGCTGTGAGGGGCCTGCAGAGGGACAGGGCTCCAGACGGTGGTCCTCTCTCACCGCTCTGGGTCAGGGGAGCACAGCTGCTCATGCCATTGCTGACAATGTGCAGATGCAGCTGGAGTCTCCTCAGGGTGTCTGCTTTTATGTCCAAGGTGATCCTTTCTCACGTCTGGCCCTGAGCTGAGAGCTGAAACAGGCCAGGGCTGTGCCTGCTCGCTGCACGTGGCTTCTCTTGGCTTCCTCCAGGCATGGTGATCGCAGGTGGTCGCTGTCTCAGCCTGCCAGGATCGGTGCAGTGCAGTGAAACTACATGCACACGCTGCTTGGAGTGAGGGGGACATTTGCAAGGTAGCAAATGCTCCAGATCTCAGGATGCAGTCCTATTTATTTGCAGACTGGTACCCCCAGGTTACAAGTGGATTTAAGTAAATTATTTCCTTGAGATGGCATTACTGCAGTCGCCCTAGCTTTGTCTCTTGCCTTTTATGGGAAGAGATCTTGAAGCCAAAAGATAACAAACCCTTATACACATGCAAATGAAGTACCCAGTACACCTGGGCCAGGTTCCCCCCCAGCTAGGATTTCCAGACTGCATTTAACACAAGGTTGAGAGTGCTTAACACAAGGTCAAAAAAGTCTGTTTTCCAACCCCCCAACCTCACAGTGGTCAAAGCTATATGTGATTGGCTTCCCTGGGGGTCGATGCCCCCATGTAAAGGCTGTAAGGCATCTGACAGCCGAGTGCTGGAAGTCACACAGCACCAATTCTGCACTGTACCCCTGGAAAGAGAGTCACAGGACTGGCAAAGAGTCAGGAGACAGAACTACACAGGGGAGCGTACCAGAAGGCATGACTCCCTGGGGACCCACCTTTGAAGCTATGATTTGCAGGGGAGCTGAGTATGGAAGGCAGAGAGAGAGGCAGCTGCACAGGACTCCGAGGACTGCCAGCCTGAGGGCCTGGGCCTTCGTCGTGCTGAGAACTTCCGGGGTCTCAGGTACGATAGAGGGGCAAGGACATGGGTTTAAGGAACATCTGTGTTTGAGAAATGAGCCTGAGTGTCACAGAAGGGAATGAAGTAGAGAAGTCTTCTTTGAGAAAGTAAGGTGGAATCAGGAGAACGCCCAGCACAGCAGCCAGCGGAGAGGCCCCCAGACGGGGACCTGCATACAAACTCTTAGCCCGAGGCTGAACGCTCCCTTGTCCAGCTTGTCTCCTTACTTGGGCATTTCGGGATACTATGCACAAGTGTGTAAAGTAAATACTCAGGCATGATCCACCCACTCTTGTACATTTCTATAGCAGTCTTTACTTGGTTCTAGGTGATTGCAAATGTAATTCATTCTACTGTATCTCATGATCATAGTAAGACTTCCTATTTACACTCACTACAGGCATAATTTCTCTTTGTTAGAAGGATCTTTAAATTTGCCTTTATTTATGAATTCTCTTGTTCTTCCATAACTTCTCAAAACCAATACATGGAAATGCCTCCCAATTCCTCAAATCCCATGTAATTCCCTGTTCATTTCATCACCTGGTTTTCTAAAGCCACATCCATCTCCACTTCCCTTCCACCCCCCTCTGGGGAAGATGTGCTGTGTGGATGTGGTGAGGAGGCTTGAGAGGAACATGCTGTTGCTCTCTGTTCAGTGGAGAGGCTTCTTGGTACGAGGTGGACATGCCAAGGAAGCAGTGTCCACACAGTCGGGCCCGTGACAGCAGCAGGGCCCACGCACACATGGAGGGTCAGTGCCTGTGAACAGCGGGGAGAGGTCTTGATTGTTCTGGAGTCTGAGTACTTCCCCAAAGACCCCTTCAGTATTGGTGACCAGCTGCAAGGTATGTGGGCTGCTCAGGGCTCACAGATGTGTCCCCTCCCTCCCAGAGGGACCAGCAGTAGGATTCCTCCCAGGAGGGCCTACAGCAGGACTCGGGGTGAGGCTACCTCAGCTGTTATGTGGGTGCTACTCAGCTTCCTGACAATTCCTGGGGTTCCCTTCCATGGAATTCTCCTGGGGGGGATGTTCAGAGAAGGTGCTAGCAGGGCCATACCTAACAGCCTCTCTGTTAACGTGGACCAGTCTGTGTAAATAGGACTTTGTAGTCAAAGCCTTCATACCGTATGATTATTATAATTGTCTCTGAGGGACAGTTTTGACAGTGGTGAAGTAGAACGCACAGACTTTGAGCAGGTTAAGAACTGACTGAGTTGAGCTTGTGCCCCTTTGCCCTTTTCTGATTGTTCCAGAATACAGACGGGGACTGCAGTGCTGGCAGGACGGAGGGAGGGACCGCCAGGCCACAGCACGCACAGCCTGAAGAGGGGAACGCATTTCACACTCAGGGCTCGACTACAGCCGTCTGTGACATCCTGCGCGGTGTCACAGAGACATGGCAGGGATGGCAGATACAGCCTGCAAGTCTAAGAGCCCACAGATACTCAGCGTCAGACAGGACAGAGCAAGGACACAAAGTTCGTAGGGTCTGATGCACAGATGCCCGGATCAGGCACAGTGAGCATGATGGTGATGCGGCAAGTGGGTGAGAGCACTGAGAACATATGGTGAATGGGCGTAGCCTCTCTGCAGTGACTGAGGTCATGACCTCCCCATGCTAGCTGGTCTTTAAGCAATCTTGCTTTCCAATGCCTTCACCAAAGAGTGGCTTCCACTGGCTTAGTGTCACTTAGTGTGGTGAGAGAAAGCAGGGATATCTAGAGGTCCCTGTGCCCTCCCAAAGAACTCCCTGCAAGCTGGCAGTCCCAGAGGGGAGGCAGTCCTATGTGGAGAGAACCCCAGCCACCAGGTGAACAGGAAGAGGCTAGGATGGAGTCAAGGAGATAGTGGAGCAGAACAGAGGGGTGTTTCTGTTCACTGTGATGCAACATAGGGGTGCATGTGAAGTAGGAATGGCGTTGCCTAGTTGTCTCTAAAAACCTTCTGAATATCTGGCTAAGCTGAGCAGTTAGCAGCGCGGTCCCTCCTCCATGCATCTCAGATAGTGGGAGTATCCATGTGTCAGGATGGGCTTTCAACTCTCGCGTGGAAGGCTGCTCGGAATGCGAGTCCTCTGAGTGCGGTCGCTCTGGGCCAGATTTGGCCCCGGGGCTGTGGTTTACAGAGTCCTGCCTGACTCTGAGTGGGTGGTGGTTGACATCGCTGGCAGGGCTGTGTGGCATTGGGGCCCTCTGCTAGGGCCTGGCTGTCAATGTAGGCGTCACAAGTTATGTTTCTAATTTGTTTCTTTTTCCCCCCACTATTCATTGTTTCTAA